ATAAAGCATCCTTCATTCAAGACCACATCACTGATGAGAAAATGGACTTCATGTGCCTCACGGAAACCTGGCATCAGCCAGAGGTTTACTCCACCCTCAATGAAGCTTGCCCTCCTGGCTACAGCTACTTGGAGAAAGCCCGCAGCACTGGTCGTGGTGGAGGCCTAGCTGTCATCTACCGAAAGGAATTGGAACTGTCACTCCTGCCCCTGCCTGTATTGTCCTCCTTTGAATGCCTTGCATATAAATATAAACCCCCCTTCGCCCTGACAATACTTCTGATCTCCCGGCCACCCAAACCCAATTCAGCTTTCATCCCAGAGATACAAGACCTTCTCACTACGCTCTGCACAACCTCTGCCAATATTCTCATACTTGGAGATTTTAATATTCACGTCGACTCCCCCTCCTGCCACTTTGCCACTGAGTTTCTGCTACTTCTGGACTGCCTCAATCTCACACAGCATGTTGATGTCCCCACGCACGCCAAGGGCCACACGCTCGACCTGGTCATCACAAACTCCGCCCCCATCAGCAATCTGCTAGTGTATGACCTGGGTGTGTCTGACCACACGACCATCTCTATGGAGCTCTTTGTCCAGTCCCAACTCAAGAAGCCCAAACACCAAATCCGCTTCAGGAACCTGAGGAACATCAACCCGGACACCATGAACCTGGACTTCCAGAATCTTTCTTCCGCCAACTTCTCATCAGTAACTGAGTCAGTTGCATATTACAACCAGTCCCTTAACAGTCTCCTTGATCTGCACGCCCCCCCTCCAGGATGGTCACTTTCTCATGCTCAGCCCCTTGGTACTCCGGCGAGCTGCAGAGAATTAAGACAGCTGGGCGTGTCCTTGAGCGGCGGCTCAAGGCCTTAGGACTCACTGTTCACCGGTTAGCCTATCGTGAACACCAGAAGGCCTACGCACAGTCCCTCAGAGATGCACGGTCCCAGTACTACTCCTCCATCATCAACAACAGTACTGGAAACTCCAAGCAACTCTTCTCCACCATAAACCACCTCCTCAAACCCCAAAGTCCTCTGCACTCCGACTCCACTGAGAAGCAGTGTGGCAACTTCGCCGCCTTCTTTACTAACAAAGCTGACACCATCTGCTCCCTCCTCTCTAGCCCCTCTGCACCTGCAGTTCCAACTGCTGACCCACAGCCTGGGACAACCCAGCCTCTTCGCTGTTTCAAAGACATCTCTCAGCGAGAGGTTGAGGGCATCGTTAGGAGGATGAAGGCCTTCACCTGTGTCCTGGACCCCCTTCCGTCAGCACTTGTGAAATCGTACATCTGTACCATGAGCCCCATGGTCACTAAGATCGTAAACCTCTCACTCCAGGCTGGCCATGTCCCCTCTGCCCTAAAAACCGTTGTCATCAAACCTCGTCTCAAAAAACCCTCCCTTGACCCGGGAGTCCTGGCCAACTACAGACCCATTTCCAACCTTCCTTTTCTATCAAAGGTGCTGGAAAAACTAGTTGCTGCTCAGCTCCAGGACCATCTAAACTCCAACAACCTATTTGAGAAGTTCCAGTCTCTCCCTCTCTCCTTATCCTCCTCGATCTCACTGCAGCTTTCAACACCATCGATCACAGGATCCTCCTCCATCGTCTGCACTCCACCATCGGACTCTCTGACTCTCCCCTTGATTGGTTCAGATCATACATCACCGGGAGAACAGAGTACTTCTCCTTGGGCGAGGCAGAGTCGGGTACCCACAACGTCACCTGTGGTGTCCCTCAAGGATCAGTTCTCGGCCCCACCCTTTTCACACTCTACATGCTCCCCCATGGCTCTATCATCAGCCGACATGGAGTATCATGCTGATGACACCCAACTGTACCTCAGGATCAACCGTACCTCCTCTGCAGCCCTGCCTTCACCCACACTCACTGCCTGCCTGGAGGAGATACAGGCGTGGGTGAAGCAGAACTTCCTGAAACTCAACAGCTCCAAGACCGAAGCCATTATAGTTGGCACCCCACACCAGGTTCGGTCATCCACCATCACCACCATCACCTTCTCCGGCCAGGACATTACCCTCTCCTCAATAGTCACCAACCTGGGTGTGAAAATGGACGCCCATCTGACCTTTGAGGCTCACATTAAACAGCTGTGCAAGAACTCCTTTTACCACCTCAGGAACATCGCCAAACTCCGCCCCACACTCACTCTGTCTGACGCCGACAAGCTGGTCCACGCCTTTGTCTCCTCCAGGCTGGACTACTGCAATGCACTCCTCATCGGGATCCCTAACAAAAGCATCCAGAAGCTCCAATTCTTTCAGAACAGCGCTGCTAGGATCCTGATGAGGGTGCGCAAATACGATCATATCACCCCCATCCTTAAAGCACTACACTGGCTACCCGTGGAACTGAGGATCGAATTCAAGGTCTCCGTCTTACCCACCAGTGTGCCCATGGAACTGCCCCTCCCTACCTCAAGGAACTCCTCACCCCCCATACCTCCTTGCGGACCACCCGCTCCAGCAACTCCAACTTCCTCAAACCCCCCAGGACTAAGCTCCGTACTATGGGAGACCGGGCCTTCTGCTCGGCTGCTCCCAGTCTGTGGAATGCTCTCCCCGACCACATGAGAGCACCTCAGACCGTGGAGGCTTTTAAAAAAGGCCTCAAAACCCATCTTTTCAGTCGAGCCTTTGCCTAGCCCTTTTTACCACCCTTTTATTTATTTCTATTGTTTGTTTTTTTATTGCTTTTTATTAATTCTACCGATCTGTGTAATGTTTATTTATACTGTTCATGCTCACTGCTTGTAGCACTTCGGGATTTGAAATTAAATATAAAGTGCTCTATAAATGAAACCCATTTATTATTATTATTATGATGTTAAAAATAAATCAAGATACTCTGCACTTTTAACGGCACAATGTCGGCAGGTCAGGTCCACAGCATTTCTGGAGCCTTCTCTCATCTGTGGCCCGTCTGGTCAGCTGCTATAAAGATTAGTTTGGAGGCACAGAAGTCCTAGACTTCCTAGCCGGAGGAGGAGAGGTAGACCCTTCCCCAAGCTCCCTAGGACTAATGTCAAAATAATCTTCTAAATGTTCTGTAACATACCAGCGAGGTGGTTCCCTGTTATCCCCGCGGAGTCTCAGTGAGAGACCCCTCCCAGAGGCTGGCAACAAATGATCAGATAACTCTTCTCTCTGATATAAGCGTCCATCACCAACCAACCACTCAACAGAACGTCTCTAAAGGGACTGAAGCATTGCAATAGTAAATATCACACATTTTCTTAAAGATATTGTTACATCTACTTGGTTTTAAATTCATTAGCAACCAGGAGTTGGATAAACACCAGATACTACAAAAGGAGTTGGTCCAAATCTCCAAAGTGAGCAAAGCTATTCTAATGACTTCCAGCAGTTAAAAAGCTTCTAACATGATTCTACTTATTGAACTGCTCCCTGAGAGGAAGAAACTAATAACACAACTGAACTCTCCTTTCTGCTCAAAATGGATCAATCAATAAACAACTCAGCGTTGGCCGGTTGATAAGGCCGTGTTGCCAGTTTCTAATAAGTACAATGGGGATAGCTAAGATCAAAGTCACAAATCCCCCATTCTTTAACCACTTTGGGGAAATCAAAACTAAATGAAAGAATAGTCCAAATGATTCCAATCAGGATCTCCTGCATTGACTGGGATGAAGCATCCTCAGAGGTAAAGTTCTGTCTCTCCATGACGTGCTGTCACTGTCTCAGGTCCAGAGAGCTGTGAGAGTATGTAAAGGCGGGGCTGCTGATCTCTATCTCGGAGCTGCATGTCAAACCACATCAACATCCGGTGCTTAACCTGCAGCACGGAGGAGAGTCAAAGAAGGAGACATCTCCCTCTAAGCAGATCTGAACATTTTCTTTATAAATGTTTTCTTAAGCAGCTTTTATGGATAAAGGCTTTTAGCAAAGTTGGGAGAGGAGGAATCCTGTTGATCCACCGAAGTCCTTCATTCCTCCCCATCCCACGTGCAACGACAGCTAGATATCGCTGCCTTATCCTGAGCAGAGATATTCAAAGCTCTTGGCTTTTATCTTTGTATATTTAATTCTACCTCCGTACAGAAAACCAATAAACCCATATTTAAAATCTAAAATCGGATCATTCTTGAATTAGATTTTGCTGATATGGTTTTTGGACTCCAGCAACAAAATCAGAAGAAAGGCTTTTGTGTTCCTTTTTTCAGTTGTTGTGTTTTTGGGGATTTGTTTCTTGTTTAAAGAGAAACACGTACACGGACCCATATCGCACATGTTCACCAAAGGGTTCAAATGACAGCAACAGAAACAGCTACTGATCTCTACGTTTAGCTTCTGATTGAACTGTTTTTTAGCTCTACTGAATCATATGCTTCATGTTTCAGGTCCTATCAGTTTATAGATGTGGGGGAGATGTTATACTTGATTAGAAGAAGTGATACCACAGTGTAGAAATACTGGAACAAGAACAAGTCTGGTATTGAAATGCACTTAGGTCAAAGTATTAGGATCAATTAATGCTTAAAGTACCATCATTAATACGACTCGTACAGTACGACTATTTCCATCATGATATATTATAGTCTGGATTCTAATCAATGATCCATTCATGTGAACATCACTTTGAATGTAGCAGCTGGTAAAGCTGGAGATCACTTGAAGGACTTGTTATACTTCCAGGTATCTTTATCCATAACAGAACTTCATCATTAAAGTGTTGTTTTATTAATAATATGAACCTGCCAAGTAACCTCAAACTCATGTTGTGAATACATGTGATGTAGTATTAGAAAACCATATACTCCAGTGAAGTCATTCAAACCTGTTCTTAGTACTTGAGTATATGTACTTTATTACTTCCCACCACTGGTTTATAGAGAGCTGGAGTTAATGATCTGATTATCACTCGGAAGTATTCATAGTATAAATGATTCATGATTAAAATATGCTGATATCAATGAAGGAACATCTCTCTCTTGTTTCTCTGCAGAGCCTGGTGTTAGGCTGGTGGGAGGAGAGAGTCGCTGTGCAGGAGCTCTGGAGCTGGAACATCAGGGAGAATGGAGACCAGTGGAGGGCTACCCTCCCTGGACCCTGAAGGCAGCAGGAGTCGCCTGCAGAGAGCTCGACTGTGGCTCTGCTGTTTCTGTGGGACGGAGAGAGGAGTCCTCAAAGAGAGATGTGTGGTGGATCAGACCTAACTGTGCTGAGTCTGGATCTGCTCTGAGGGAGTGTGCAGCATCAAGTTACTCTGAACACATCCTGAATCTCACCTGCTCAGGTAAGCCCATCAGTGACATCATCAGTGACATCATCAGTGACATCATCTGTGACATCATCAGTGACATCATCAGTGACATCATCAGTGACATTTTCATTGTTGTTTTCATTTTCTTGTTTTTACAAATTAAAAAAACCCAAATATCAAATGATGAACAGTGGACGGAGCAGCCGGGCGTAGTGGGTGGGCTACTGGGTCTGTAGGCCCACCCACTCATTCATCAACAATGACTGAGAGAAAATATAGTTTACCGGATTTCTATTTTTGATTATCAAAATGAAAAATGAAATAATTAAATAATAGCAAAAATAAGTTTCCCTTTAAAAAATGCATCCAATTAGAAACATCATTTATTAACGTAATCAGGCTTCTGTTGTGTGAGATGTTCTATCCAATCACAACAGGCCAGCGTCAAATGGCCTGCTGTGATTGGCCTACAGCTCACATCGTCGCAGCGCGGCGCCAACACAACGTAGGACGTCCCGCAGACCCCGCAGAGGAAGGAGGAACATATAGCACTCATTTACAGAGTCACAAGAATCCATGTTCAGAGTTTAGAAAGAGTGAGAGGGGAGAGGCCAGAGCCAGCATCCTCACAGCAGGGGCCGTCTCACTCCACATGCTGCCTCTCTGCTTGCTGAGTCCCTAACATGTATCAATGTGAACCAAAAGAGATGAACAAGCAGTTTTACATTTCATTCCACTCCTTGCAGCCTGGAGCACGGCTGATATGAAGAGTCCTGAAACCCACCGGGTTATTTGGAGCCTCCTCCTCTGGAATGATACCATTCACCATTTCATGGAAAACACCAGACCAAAACACAAACAGCTTGAATTCAATGATGACGCCATGTTTGAAGAACAACGTGTTTACACACATCAGTCAGATCACACATGTGAAACACACATGTGAGAGTAGAGAGTGAAACCTTTTGAAAGTGTGTGTGTGAGAGCAGAGGTGGAGCTGAGCAGAAGGAGCAGAGGGTCTGCAGAGGAGGAGGTTCTGTTGAAGACACAGGGGAAGGGTTCACTCATGGAGACCACTTGCTAGAGGCTATCAGGTGTAGATGTGAGGGTACCTGCAGTCTGTGCTCTTATCAACATGTGTTCTTTGTTCATCATCAACTCATGTTGGAACTGAGTCCAGTTTGAATCTGAAATATAGTTTCATCTCTTTGATGGTGTGTCTTTGACCTCTGTTTGATCTTCTGTCCTCTGCAGACTCTGTCAGGCTGCTGGGGGGGACTGCTCTGTGCTCAGGCAGACTGGAGGTGAACTCTGACCCGTCTGACCCGTCCTGGTCCTCAGTGTGTGAGGCTGACTTTGACCAGCAGGATGCTCAGGTGGTCTGCCGGCAGCTGGGCTGTGGGGCTCCTTCAGTCCTCCAGGGGGCGCTCTATGGAGAAGGGGAGGCTCCAATGGGGACCAAAGAGTTCCAGTGTGGAGGCCATGAGTCTGCTCTCCTGGACTGTAGCTCAGCCTCAGAGAGAAGCACCTGCTCACCTGGCACAGCTGTTAGCCTCACCTGCTCAGGTAGAGAGGAGCTGTGATTGGTTCATTCTGTTCTCATCAAACTCACTTTATTCTCTCTCTGATCTCTCTCTTGTTTCTCTGCAGAGCCTGGTGGTGTTCAGCTGGTGGGAGGAGAGAGTCGCTGTGCAGGAGCTCTGGAGCTGGAACATCAGGGAGAATGGAGACCAGTGGACTTTCACTCTCTCTGGACCCTGAAGGCAGCAGGAGTCGTCTGCAGAGAGCTCGACTGTGGCTCTGCTGTTTCTGTGGGAGAGAGAGAGGAGTCCTCAGAGAGAGATGTGTGGTGGATCAGCTCTAACTGTGCTGAGTCTGGATCTGCTCTGTGGGAGTGTGCAGCATCACTTTCCTCTAACTTCTTCCTGAATCTCACCTGCTCAGGTAACCCATCAGTGACATCATCAGTGACTTCATCTAAAACAGTCGTTTTCAGCAACCACAGTTCATGGGGGTGAACCCAGATTAAAACGTGTCTGTAAATCCAGACATGATATAAACGTCACTGAACATTCCTCTGGTAGCAGAGTGACGTCTCGTTTAGTATCCATCACAATCTGAATGAAAGTCCGTTTGATATTCATGTGGCAGAAGCTGTGTTTGTTCATCACGGGTGATCAGGTGGAATCAATACATACACAAGGTTTAGAGTCAGAACATACGTCATATTTAATATGAGAGAGACTTTATATTTAACATCCTTTCTTTAGGACACAGTGTTTACAGTTCCCACTGACAGCTGAATGTATGTTTGTGTGTGGATATGCATCAGGGCACGGTACTTGAAGGAGCAGCTGGTGTTAGGAGAGCGCCAGCTGAGTGCTGGATGTGTTGGGGGGCATGTCTCTCTGCCTGGGGCCCCCAGAGGGTCCTGCAGTGCCACTGCTCACAGCCATGAGGCCAGATCAATGAAACCAGGATACATCCTTTACCGTCAAACTGGGTCTGAACACAGCTGCCTGTGAGCGTTTGATCAATGCTTTCTGATGCTATATTTATGAGATGCTACTTATCAGCTGCGCGGCCCTAACGCGTAAAGTTACACAAGCATTTGTTCCAGAGCTTTTCACAAGTAGACTCTTGAGGCCAGAGTAGCTGCAGTGAGTCAACAACAACACAAAGACATATCTGAGAAGAGACCAGGACGAAGAGGAAGAGGAAGAGAGAGATGAAGAGACCAGGAGGAAGAGGAAGAGGAAGAGACCAGGACGAAGAGGAAGAGAGAGATGAAGAGAGCAGGAGGAAGAGGAAGAGACCAGGACGAAGAGGAAGAGGAAGAGACCAGGACGAAGAGGAAGAGGAAGAGACCAGGAGGAAGAGGAAGAGGAAGAGAGAGATGAAGAGACCAGGACGAAGAGGAAGAGGAAGAGACCAGGACGAAGAGGAAGAGAGAGATGAAGAGACCAGGACGAAGAGGAAGAGGAAGAGACCAGGATGAAGAGGAAGAGAGAGATGAAGAGAGCAGGAGGAAGAGGAAGAGACCAGGACGAAGAGGAAGAGGAAGAGACCAGGAGGAAGAGGAAGAGGAAGAGACCAGGAGGAAGAGGAAGAGGAAGAGAGAGATGAAGAGAGAATGAAGAGAAAGGAGGAGAGGAAGAGAAGGAGGAAGAGAAGAGGAGGAGAAAGAGAAGGAGGAAGAGGAGAGGAAGAGACCAGGAGAAGAGGAAGAGGAAGAGACCAGGAGGAGAGGAGAGGAAGGAGGAGAGAGGAGGAGATGAAGAGACCAGGAGGAAGAGGAAGAGGAAGAGACCAGAGACGAAGAAGAGGAAGAGACCAGGATGAAGAGGAAGAGGAAGAGGAAGAGGAGGAAGATGAAGAGACCAGGAGGGTCAGAGCAGGAGGAAGAGGAGGAGATGAAGAGAGCAGGAGGGTCAGAGGAGGAGGAAGAGGAGGAGATGAAGACATTAGTGAGAAGAGAAGACATGTATGTGAGGAAGAGGAGAGAGAGAAGAGACCAGGAGGGTCAGAGCAGGAGGAAGAGGAGGAGATGAAGAGACAGAGGGTCAGAGCAGGAGGAAGAGGAGGAGATGAAGAGACCAGGAGGGTCAGAGCAGGAGAAGAGGAGGAGATGAAGAGAGGAGATGTAGAGACCAGGAGGGTCAGAGCAGGAGGAAGAGGAGGAGATGAAGAGACCAGGAGGGTCAGAGCAGGAGGAAGAGGAGGAGATGAAGAGAGCAGGAGGGTCAGAGCAGGAGGAAGAGGAGGAGATGAAGACAGTAGTGAAGAAGAAGACAGTATGTGAGGAAGAGGAGGAGATGAAGAGACCAGGAGGGTCAGAGCAGGAGGAAGAGGAGGAGATGAAGAGACCAGGAGGGTCAGAGCAGGAGGAAGAGGAGGAGATGAAGAGAGCAGGAGGGTCAGAGCAGGAGGAAGAGGAGGAGATGAAGAGACCAGGACGAAGAGGAAGAGGAAGAGAGAGATGAAGAGACCAGGAGGGTCAGAGCAGGAGGAAGAGGAGGAGATGAAGAGAGCAGGAGGGTCAGAGCAGGAGGAAGAGGAGGAGATGAAGACATTAGTGAAGAAGAAGAAGAAGACATGTATGTGAGGAAGAGGAGGAGATGAAGAGGACAGGAGGGTCAGAGCAGGAGGAAGAGGAGGAGATGAAGAGACAGGAGGGTCAGAGCAGGAGGAAGAGGAGGAGATGAAGAGACCAGGAGGGTCAGAGCAGGAGGAAGAGGAAGAGATGAGAGAAGCAGGAGGGTCAGAGGAGGAGGAAGAGGAGGAGATGAAAGAGACCAGGAGGGTCAGAGGAGGAGGAAAGAGGAGGAGATGAAGAGACCAGGAGGGTCTCAGAGCAGGAAGGTAAGAGGAGGAGATTGAAGACATTAGTGAAAGAAGAAGAAGACATGTATGTGAGGAAGAGGAGGTGTCAGAGAGAGGGCCAGAGGCAGGGCTCAGGAGGCAGAGGAGACTCCAGCTGGACCACATGGTGTGTTCTTGTTCTCGTACATGTTCCATCACAGCAGCTCAATCTAGCAGCTCTTAGTACGGACACATGTTGAGATGTGTTGCTGCAGCTCACCTTCAGCTCTCTGAGAGATGGCTGATGTGTGTACTTCATTATAACCAAGTACTTTGACTGTACTCACAGTAAGCAGAGTTCTAGGTATCATGAGTACTTCCTGCTGTTTATACTATATGTTAGTTAGTGTGTCTGAACACCTTGTTTCTCTGGTGCTTTAAGAACACTTGTTAGGCCACGATCTAACAATAAATAGGTTATAGAGTATGAAATACCACGTACTGTCGGCCGCCCCATGCCACCCTGACCTCTGGCCCCCCTCTGCCCCCCCATGTAACATGTTCTAGACCCCCCACTGTGTGCGGTGAGCCAGGTAACACGCTGCTGCTGCTCTGGCAGTGATAACTGGGAGCCTCTCATTAGGAAGAGAACAGCCAACATGTCTGCAAACACACTCTGTCAGAAGTGTGCAGCTGTTAAAGCCACTGACAGCCGGTCCAGCAGCGATCAGGAATCACAAAGGAAGTCCTTTAACGTCACACTCCGAGGAAAGGACGTGTCATTGCTCTGAAAACACATTTCCTCACTCCCTCCCTCTTCGTGTGGAGGAAAGGACGCAAGTGAGGGAAGCAAGGACTCGAGTTCAGAGACTTAGGATGGACCTCACATCGTGTTCTTCCAAGCTAGAGTAGAAGTGATATTAACATTGTTTTCCGCTTCGTTCCGATGCCTTAGTTTTACCGGGAAGTGGGCGGGGCGGTCATTTCGCTCTGAAGGGACGCACTCATGTGATTGGCCTAAATGATGCAGACATCTGATTGGCTACAGAAACTCCCATCTTGAAAACACGTGTGAATCTAGCGGCGTCAGGGAGTCTCAGAAATCCACTCACTAAAGCCTTTTTTATAGAAATGTAACAACATCAAATCTGTTATTGATGCACAAGATTGAACACTTTTAAAGTCATATCTTTGTGGATTTATATTGCATTGATTTAAAACAGTAACTATTTGTGTGTGCGTTGAAAGCTATGTGTGTGGATGGAGACGTGTCTGCTGCCTCAGGAGTCCCCTGGGACCACCAGTCTGAAAGGACTCCTGCTTCAGCTCCAGCTCTCTGAGCCTCTGGGTCCAGCAGCAGGTTCTTTGGGTTCCACCATAACAGCACCAAGACCTCCTGGACACGGCTCTGATCCGCTCAGCCGGGGCTCCTCGAGGCTCCTTCACCCAGAAGCTCCTTCAGAGCAGAGTCCGGATCCTTTGGCTTTCATCTTTTAGAACTCATTTTCTGATGGATTTTAGTTCTAGGATCAGATTCTATTAGAAAGCTGAGAAATAATAAAAGCTTTGTTAAAACATGAAGTTGAGTCCCTGAGCAGAAGGAGCAGAGGGTCTGCAGAGGAGGAGGTTCTGTTGAAGACACAGGGGAAGGGTTCACTCATGGAGACCACTTGCTAGAGGCTATCAGGTGTAGATGTGAGGGTACCTGCAGTCTGTGCTCTTATCAACATGTGTTCTTTGTTCATCATCAACTCATGTTGGAACTGAGTCCAGTTTGAATCTGAAATATAGTTTCATCTCTTTGATGGTGTGTCTTTGACCTCTGTTTGATCTTCTGTCCTCTGCAGACTCTGTCAGGCTGCTGGGGGGGACTGCTCTGTGCTCAGGCAGACTGGAGGTGAACTCTGACCCGTCTGACCCGTCCTGGTCCTCAGTGTGTGAGGCTGACTTTGACCAGCAGGATGCTCAGGTGGTCTGCCGGCAGCTGGGCTGTGGGGCTCCTTCAGTCCTCCAGGGGGCGCTCTATGGAGAAGGGGAGGCTCCAATGGGGACCAAAGAGTTCCAGTGTGGAGGCCATGAGTCTGCTCTCCTGGACTGTAGCTCAGCCTCAGAGAGAAACACCTGCTCACCTGGCACAGCTGTTAGCCTCACCTGCTCAGGTAGAGAGGAGCTGTGATTGGTTCATTCTGTTCTCATCAAACTCACTTTATTCTCTCTCTGATCTCTCTCTTGTTTCTCTGCAGAGCCTGGTGGTGTTCAGCTGGTGGGAGGAGAGAGTCGCTGTGCAGGAGCTCTGGAGCTGGAACATCAGGGAGAATGGAGACCAGTGGGGGCTATCCTCCCTGGACCCTGAAGGCAGCAGGAGTCGCCTGCAGAGAGCTCGACTGTGGCTCTGCTGTTTCTGTGGGAGACGGAGAGAGGAGTCCTCAGAGAGAGATGTGTGGAGGATCAGATCTCTCTGTGTTGAGTCTGGATCTGCTCTGAGGGAGTGTGCAGCATCATATTCCTCTAACTCCTTCCTGAATCTCACCTGCTCAGGTAACCCATCAGTGACATCATGTGTCTCTTTGTTAGTCTCAGACTGGGGCAGAGACAAACTGTCCCTCAGACTGTGGCAGAGACAAACTGTCCCTCAGACTTTGGGCAGAGACAACGGTCCCTCCAGACTGTGGCAGAGACAAAACTGCCCTCAGACGGGGTCAGAGACAAACTGTCCCTCAGACTGTGGCAGAGACAACAAACGTCCCTCAACTGGGGCAGAGAGCAAAAACTGTCGCCTCATACTTTGCAGAGAAAACTGTCCCTCAGACAGTGGCATAGACAAACTGTCTCCCCTCGAACTGTGCAAGAGACAAACTGTCCTTCAGACTGTGGCAGAGACAAACTGTCCCTCAGACTGTGGCAGAGACAAACTGTCCCTCAGACTGTGGCAGAGACAAACTGTCCCTCAGACTGTGGCAGAGACAAACTGTCCCTCAGACAGTGGCAGAGACAAACTGTCCCTCAGACTGTGGCAGAGACAAACTGTCCCTCAGACTGTGGCAGAGACAAACTGTCCCTCAGACTGGGGCAGAGACAAACTGTCCCTCAGACTGTGGCAGAGACAAACTGTCCCTCAGACTGTGGCAGAGACAAACTGTCCCTCAGACTGTGGCAGAGACAAACTGTCCCTCAGACTGGGTCAGAGACAAACTGTCCCTCAGACTGTGGCAGAGACAAACTGTCCCTCAGACTGTGGCAGAGACAAACTGTCCCTCAGACTGTGGCAGAGACAAACTGTCCCTCAGACTGTGGCAGAGACAAACTGTCCCTCAGAGTGGCAGAGACAAACTGTCCCTCAGACTGTGGCAGAGACAAACTGTCCCTCAGACGTGGCAGAGACAAACCGTCCCTCAGACTGTGGCAGAGACAAACTGTCCCTCAGACTGTGGCAGAGACAAACTGTCCCTCAGACTGTGGCAGAGACAAACTGTCCCTCAGACTGTGGCAGAGACAAACTGTCCCTCAGACTGTGGCAGAGACAAACTGTCCCTCAGACTGTGGCAGAGACAAACTGTCCCTCAGACTGTGGCAGAGACAAACTGTCCCTCAGACTGGGCAGAGACAAACTGTCCCTCAGACTGGGCAGAGCAGAGACAAACTGTCCCTCAGACTGTGGCAGAGACAAACTGTCCCTCAGACAGTGGCAGAGACAAACTGTCCCTCAGACTGTGGCAGAGACAACTGTCCCTCAGACTGTGGCAGAGACAAACTGTCCCTCAGACTGGGGCAGAGACAAACTGTCCCTCAGACTGTGGCAGAGACAAACTGTCCCTCAGACTGTGGCAGAGACAAACTGTCCCTCAGACTGTGGCAGAGACAAACT